GACAATATGGAATTAAAATAGAGAGGGATGATATTATGAAAAAATGGGGTTAGACTTGGCAGTAGCTAACCGCGAGTGGTGCCCTGGAGGGCGCCGACGAGCGACTAGCTGCTGTAGTGGATTAACTGCAGAAGTGCCGCTTCGAAGTTTTGGGATTTATTTAATAAACATCAACAGTAGAGGTCTAATAGGTTTGAGTAAAGAATGTCAGACGCAAAAATATGTCAAGTCAAGGATGAGAAACGATTTTTCTGTCTGGACACAATAGGTGAATAAGTTATCAGACGAAAAACACTGCTAAAAGAATTTATATTTGCCGTATGGGCAGCTGACATGAGTGAAATATACGAGTGTTTCTTTTGTTATATTCTTTTCTTTGTATTGATTCAAGTATCTGAATTTATACTCATACATTAAAATTACCTGTCTAGTCTTGTCGTTGCTTTGAACAAGAGCGTGTTTTATGTATGATATTTCGCTTTGCGATCAGATATAGTATGATTTCTTTTCAGCTAGAGATTCATTGAGCTTCTACTTTCCTAGAGAACTCTATAGCAAACAGCGTTCTCGATGAATGTTCTAGAAACTATACAAATTTCTAGTAGAATTTTGAAATCCTATGCTGCGTTTTCGTATAACTGTTGTGAACTTATTTTGTTACGTGGCCTCTGAAAATATGGATTATGGTATCTTGTGATTTTTCGAAGTAACGTAGTTCGAGGTTAGCGGAAGTGTAAATAAAGATAAATTGTGTTGTTGAGACATAGAGCGGAAAATAGCAGCGGCTAGCCGTGAGTGGCGCCGACGAACGACTAGCCACTGCACTAGAAAGCTCCTCGAAGAAAGGCTTCAGGCTGTTGAAACTCATCCAATGAACATTAACAGTCTAGATCGAATGGATTTGAATAAGGAGTAGCAGTTGCTAACAACTGAGAAATGTTTTGAAATAAACTGTAATAACGCCTTTTCTTCACATGCACAATATATGTATAGTGTATTTGACGGAAAAAAATCATTTGAAAACTTTATATTCATCTTATTGAAATGAGACTTGAATGAAATAAACAAGGTTTTCTGCTGGAGTGTTGCTTTATATGTACTCATTCGAATGTTGATATGTATAGGGATATGTTCAAATTACCTATCTAGTCCAACGGCTACTTTAAGTAAGAGCTTCTTTCAAGTATGGTAGTTCGATTACAGATCAGATCTAATATGATTGATTTTAAGCTAAAGATTCAACTAAACCCGTATGTTTTTATCAGACGCTCTATTAAACAATACTGCTAGCTGCTATGTTAGTAAGGGAATGGATTTTTTGGTAGAAATTTTAAAGGGTATGGCACGTTTTTCCAAGATTGTTTGTGAATGTGTTTCGAATCATTATTTCTGAGAAAGCGGAATATAGACTTTTTTCGGACACATATAGATATCGCCGGCACAATGTAGTTCTTTTGATTTTTGTTGAGTGGTTGTGGGTGTGGGTGTGAGGGTGTGTGTCAGTATTAGTGTAAAGAAGACTTTCATACCCACACTCACACCCAACCATAGCCACAACCACACCCAACAAAACTAGATAGCAGCTAATCATTCAGTCGAGAGTCAAACGAGTCATGCTGACGAGCGTTACTTGTCACTTTTACGTACTAATTACTCGTAGTTTGTAATTCAAAAATGACTCATTTATTCTTGACTCAAAGTCACTTAGTGTTCGGCAAAGAGAAAATTTTCAAATTGAAGTGTGAAGGTTGGTGGACTAGTGTGGTTAAAGGGAGAAGATACACACTCCCCACACACTCACATCCTAGTAGTACAAGAGTTAGTATTTATGACTGTCTAACTTTAGATAATGTTCTTAGTAGGAGGACTGTAAATGCAGAAGAAATATCAAAATCGGTGATTTTTTTCTAGTTGGACATAGCTGTTTTTCTCTAGTCCATTTCATGAAAGTGCAAGAATAATCTGTTTCTCTGCTCATCAATCACATTCTTTCTGGCGATTGGACACGACCATATCTATTCTGAGACATTTGCAATTTTTCTTCGTCTAGTGACAACAATCCCAGTACCGGTTTGGGAAGGTACATATACACCCGACTCAGGCTGCGACACACTCGTCTGCTGTTGTCCAACTGGGCCGATAGTGTTGACAAGTTCTTCTTCGGCTATTCTTTCTTTCCAATCGAGCGTCAGTGGACAATGTAATACTGAAACTTCAATTTACCAATTGACAACTAATCCGGTTGGTTACACATGGTCATTTACATACAGTACTATTAGTTTTCAATTTACAATCAGTTCTGATAGCAGCAGTATCAGTGGTGGCGTCGCAAATAAAGAACAATGCACAGCATTAGCAACCAAGATTTCAGAGGGCCTATGAATTCTAACAGAGCAGCAAAGTCTATCAAACATCTTCTGTAACACGAATATGAACGATTTGACAATATAATATATTGCGTTTCACTCTCGCAAATTTGTGTATCTGCTTTTGCTTTTTTTAAATAAAATCAATAATTGTATTATGTTGAGAACTCTAGCGAAGATCCAAATATAGTAAAGTATGCAAGAGCTTTTCTTACAACAATGACACAATGATCTGAAAGAATTGCAGTAGAAGAGAATATCGATCTGTAATTTAGAAAAAAAGTCCAGACGTGGTATAAAACTGTCTTGTCAGTAATTTCTGCATTATCTAAATGTTGAAAAGTATTGACAATGGATTTCGAAACAGGAAAATTACAGACTTTAAATTATGAAATAAGATTCTAGTCAACTTACTATGAAAATGTTTTGATCTAATGATTCATCAATTCTTGATCATGATTACTATGTGTTTGAGTGTATTCATATTGACAAGAGACCGTCTTATACTTGTCCCAACCGTATAATATATTGTTTATTATTGAATCTTTGTTCCTAGAGCCAAGAATACATCCACAGTTGAAGATAATATACAGTGTCCATGACACGTAGAATAATAATATTTATAGTTACTTTAAAGGTTTCATCAAATGTTAAACAAAGTTCATAGAACGAATTGAAACCAATCAATCGGATACTAACTCTTCTAATCTCGTTGCATGTTAAGACCAATTTCATGAAAAACACTCCAGAAGTTGTTTCTTTTAAAAGAATGACTCTTAAATAAGAATAAATCAACTTGTGGATCAGATGCTTCCAAATGAGTCACAATCGGATAACTGCTATCTAGAATGATCATAAAAACAATCAAGAGAAAACTCATAAGAATCCAATATACCGAGGCGTATAACCAGTTGTTAATTGCTCTTCACGATCAATGCGATGATGATGTTTCTGTTTCACTCTTTATAGTCCAGGATGGGGAAGCATTATCGAATCTTCGAACAGAGGAATAACATCTAGTGGAGTGCTTTTCCAATGAAGTATACTTTATTGAAAGAAGGTTGAAAACAATATATTGATCGGCAATATCTGCTCAGAGACCTTGGGCATGATGATGTCGAAATAGCCATGTTGCTGCTCAATCCACACCCATAAGATCGTAAGTCGTTGATAGAATGAATTATTTGAACACTGGTGCCAATCAATGGTTCACATATTGACATGCATGGCTATCGACACAATTAGTCACACTTCCAAGCGAGAACAATTCATTTTTCGTCGAAAAACTATTTTTTGTGTGGAAAATACTTCGATACTACCACTACGATAATTGCTTCGGGCTAACCATTCAGCTGCATCTTGCTCGGTGTAGTACATCAATCTCTATCAGAATACCAGAAACAACCTAGTATTCAAAGATAGAGACAGAGAACTAGATGTTGTTCAAAGTCCTACAGACATAGAAGAGTGATATTGATTTTTCCGAGAGTATTTGTTCTGAAGATAGCTCAAATGATTATTGATCAGCAACTGTTGAATCCTTTGATCATTTGAAAATCTTTCCACATACCTGTCCAATACCATTCGCTGGCATTCGATATAATATGACATATGACATTCGTTTCGACTTGTAGTGAATGATTAATATCATCTGGAAAATCTTGTAAACCTGAAATTAACGTTTTCGGTGAAATCTCTTTTTTTAACATGATCCTATTCATCTAGAGCTTCAATGCCAAGCGATGCACACAGGATATCATACAGACCAATCGATGTTTATCGAAAAGATTTATCTTGAATCGGATATCTAATCATTGACAGATAACTAGTAAAACAAGCCATGGTGTGATTTCGTAGATCATTAATAAATACATCGCTTTTGGTGTGATGTCGAGTCTAAACGGCAATTTTTCTATCTGATATAATATCATTCATTGAATGTGCCTCATTGATAGATTCAAATTGAGCATTTTGTTTCACAGAAGGTTCATTTTCTAATGTAATGCCAAAGAAAATTTACCCGTGAGCATTGTGTACAAATATCAAACATTGCTGTCATTGAATTGAGTAAAGGTGACAATCGCACTGCTCGAATCAACACTGCACAGAATATCATGTGTATCACGCGTTAATAGGATGACAGTTTCAGAGCAGTCTATGATTCTGAGAGAAGATACACTTTTAAATAAGATATAAGGCATAACATGAGAATCCTTGTCGCCCGTTGTGGTGTTTAGTTTATGCCTAGAAATAAAATGATAAAATATAGCCAATCATGAGATGGTATCAGACTATTATTCATTTCTGTTGTTCTCAAAGTCAGTGAAATTCGTTTCATTCAATGACTGAAAAGAAATGTATTAGGGTTGCATATATATGCTCCTTCAGATTATTTATTAGTGCTTTTAACGTTTCTTCATACGCCTTTTTTCTTGCAGTAACACACCGTAATATTGAGTGATTGCATACGAAAATCTAAAGCTGGCATCATCAACACAGTGATTATTTATTTTTCTTATTTAGTTCGGTTCGAACATCAGATTGAACATTAAATATTTTTTTCAAAAACAAAAGCGTAAAATAAAATTTCTTCTTCAAGATCGCGAGGAGTCCATCTCTTTTGAGTAATTACCACGAAATACGACCGTGTACGATCGTTTACAACTGTAGTAATGCTTGCCCTTGAATGTGTAAGCATACAGCTTTGAATTCAAATCCGACAGATTTCTTTTCTTTGCCACAAAAGAAAAACTATTGATTGTATTTATATGAAGAAATCTGTTCGACTCGTCTTTACCAAGAGAACTATTTTTACATCTTATTTCGTCAAAAATGATATTTTATATTTGATTATTAGTTCGATTCTTTATACCAATTGGTTGTGCAATTAATGCAAAAAGTTTTTCATCACATCTAGCTCACTCGTCAAAGCCATAAACTTCATACCTAAATTCAAGACAATAAATTAAATTGTATAAGTAAAATATACCCTTGTCAACTGATATAAAAGAAACTCTTGAGCAAAAAACATTAAATCAAAATTTACTATGATGCTAAAGAACTCATCAAATTTTCAGGTGTATACATTACTGATAAGGGTATCAAAAGGACTGTCAACATGCATATACAAATATCTGATACACGTGTTATTTCTTTTTTTTGTCATACAATAAGAACATATATGAAAGAATCGTTTCTTTGCCTATCTTACAAAAAAGAATAAATATGGGTTGTAACCTTGGTTGTAACAGTGTTCGAGTTGCACCAGTAATAGATCCAAGTCCAGTCCCAGATCCAGTACCTGATGTCATTCATGAATCAACAAAACAACCAATAACAAACTCAAATGATTCTGAAGGAAAAAGGAACTCTAAAAAACGTAAAAATTCTTTAACTAAGAATCATATTCAACAGATTGATGATAATCAACAATCAGCTGATTCTCTCATCAATACACAAATAAATCCTATGATTGGCAATTTAGACAAAGGCAATGATTTTGTTGAAATTGAAGTTGCTGACCCACAAGCATTTCATAATTTATTTATTCAACAACGTCAACACGCGATTGACAATCAATCTTATCATTTAACTATTCAATCATGGCGTCCAAATTCACTTGAACAATTAGTTAATGCTGTAAAATCTTTATCAAAAAATAAATCGTTAATAGATTGCCATTGGATTATTTTCTATTGGGTTACATTGAATATTGAATACGATACTGTGGCCTATTTTAGCAAAAACTATCAAGATCAAACAGCTGAAGGTGTGTTTCGAACAAAGAAAGGTGTTTGTGCTGGTTATGCAAATATATATAAATATCTATGTGATCAATTGAATATGCCATGTGAAAAGATCAGTGGTTATTCAAAAGGTTATGGATTTGATGAACGTGAAGGTGCACCGAATGAGACTGATCATGCATGGAATGCTGTTGATATTGATAATCATTGGTATTTGATTGAATCAACATGGGGTGCTGGACATCTTACAGAACAAAAAATGTTTCAACGTGAATTAAATTCTTATTATTTTTTTGCTCATCCCAATGAAATGATTTATCATCATTTACCTGAAAATGACAAATGGCAATTATTACGAAAACCCATTAAAATGAAACAATATTTACAAATGCCAAAAATTCATCCTATTTACTTTCAATTGAATCTTGATTTGATTAGTCCACGTAATCAAGCTTATGTTGATTTTCTTCCAGAAAAATCGTATGCATTACTTCTTATACAAGCACCATCTGATGTTCAACTTATAGCAGATTTAAAATTGAATAATAAAAAAATTGAAGGTGGTGATCATGTTGTATTTGATAACAAGAAACAAATGTATTATTGTTATTTTGCTCCGAATACTATTGGTAAACATAAAATTACAATATATGGAAAACGAGATGATACAGAAGGTAAATATCATGGAGCGCTTGATTTAACTCTTGATGTTAATGAAATACCAAAAAATCCTATAAGTTATCCAAAAACATGGCCAATATTTTTCGATTTAAATCTAAATGTAATTTCGCCGAAAAAAACACATTTGATTAAATTACATAATGGACAAGCACACACAGAAATTCAAATTCAAGCACCTAAGAATGTCGAATTACTTGGTCAACTTGTTAATATTGATGGAAACATTATACAAGGTGGAGATCAAATATTTTATGATCGACATAAAAATCGATGGCGATGCAACTTTGCACCGAATCATGATGGAATGTTCGATGCTCAAATTATGGCTAGAAAAAAATCCGATACAGGTAGTTACACATCTGCAGTAACATTTAAAATCGAAGCTAAAAATATTCCCACACCACCATTATCTTATCCGCATACGTGGCCGCTCTTCTTTGAACTTGATCTTAAAATAGAATCACCACGAAATCGTGCTACTGCTGTATGGCCAGAAAATGCATCTTTCACTGAAATTCGTATGTCAGTACCCAATGATGTTGAACTCTCATGTGACATTGAGTTTAATGGCAAGAAAGAAAACAATTGTGCATTAGCACAGTTTGATAATGACAAAAAACAATGGCAACTTTTGTTTGCACCTCAACGTACAGGTCTACATAGACTCATGGTTTTTGCTCGACGCCAATCGGATTCTGATACAACGTTCCATGGGGCTGTGCGATTCGATCTCAACGTAACAAAACTTCGAAAACCAATTAAGTTTCCTTTAACATACACTAAATTTCGAACTGATAAATGTCGAATTTATGAACCACTTCATGGTGTACTTAAGAAAGATACTATTGTGCCAATTCATTGTTTTATTCCTGGAGCAACGACTGTTGACTTACAAGTTGACTCCAAATGGATTAAGACAAAAGGATATGAAGATCCTATTTTAAAAACAGAAATAACTGTCGGTTCAAAAGATGTAACTATCTATGCTAAATATGGCCAAGATACAAGCTATGATGGACTTGTTGAATATTCTGTTGAGTAGTTAAATAAACTTCAATAGATTGAAAACAATTATGATTTTAAGAATTTTAAATGTTTTCACTTTTCTTTTCATATAAATAAATTGAACACAATAAAATGGACCTTTTTTTTTCACTTAAATAAAATATTTTTAATTTTTAATACAATCAAGCATAACATGACATTGTCATTTAAGCTCGTAGACATCCTGCAAAAGTGCATACGAACTATTCAAAGATTCTTGTTTTTCCATTTGACACAATAATAAGTATTTTGTTTTCTCAACGCAACGCCAAATTACACAAAAAAAATTAACTTGAATATCACTTTCATCATCTTTGTATAAAGTAATTACTCAATGGAATACATAACTTACTGTTGTTTTAAACAAGTCCTTAGTAATATTGCTGATCAATCTCTTCCTGTATTCATCATATAACTGTCTCATTTATCTTACGTTAGGATATTATACACCACACTGTATTGTAGTAAAGCTTTTATTCTGTCTACTATACATTTATATAAAAAATGTACTATAAACAATACTACGATTAAGTAGATGTTTTTCATATGTATAAGGTAAGCAAATACTACTGATAATTATTATTGTTAATATCACGAAAGGAATTTTGCTTGTTATCAAGTAAGAAAGATATGTGTGTAGCATTTCATAGATAATTTTTACACTGTCATCTATGAGAATAAAAAAAAGACATCAAAACGAATGTTGTCAATAATATTAATGGTTCTAATAGAATAAAGGAAGGTGTCAATATTTTCTTGGTATTTCAATAAATTCTGATCGCATACGATTTAGCTTTTTTCAAAAAATACCGTTCAATTTTCTTCTCAAATATATGCCTTTAAAACGAGATTGTGACATTTAAACTTCAAGGTCATTGAAAAAGAACAAACTTTTCGAGTTCATTCGTATGTGTGGCCACCGTAATTCTGTATGGTGTATGATCATTGAATACGTGACGAATTTTATCGTGCGCTTCACGTTCGTCCATTGTAAATATCATACATTCATGATCAAAGCCAAGTTTGCGCACTTCATATAAGAATCGAGCACCTGCATTACCAGATGGTTTTTCATTTGTTCGATTCATATCGGTAACAATGCGAAATGTATCGTTCGTTTTAAGTCGTTGTCCCAATTCCGAACGAAGAAATGCCAATGCTGCTTGCGTATTCGACTTAGGAATGAAATGGACATTGATATGAGTACCGAGTGTACTTGCCTTTTCCATATGACCTTTGTTTTCCCACGACTTATCAAAAATATTGTCATCGACCCACATCACTACATATTTGCATAGACCTAGTTCAATCTATTATATACAAGCAAATAAATCAATTTAAACACACAAGAAAGCTACTTACTTGTCTCATATGTATATGGTGTTTTCCAGTTATTGCATCTGTCTCGGTATAGCAGACGAGAAAAGATGAATAGGGCAAAAAGAGGACTTCATCTTCTACATCACCACAATTCGAGAAATATTGTATGTTTCGACCAGTTAATGAAAATATTGTGAAAATAGTATTACGTTCCTTGAACCATTCGAGAGTATTGTTACTTTTTTCTGCACTGCTAAATTGAAGCCATGTTACAAGTGCGCCAGGTTGATAGTCTTCAAGTTCTTTTTCTTGTAACTTGACGTATCTCTTTACTACACCCCAATAAAAAGTAATGTGTGATAAACCTTTGATCAGATAATACATAATTATGGCTGCTTTCTCATCGACATTGACTGTTTCTGTGTTCGTTAGATCATTTGCTTGCAGTCGTCGAACAAAGACATTTGTTTCCATATTCACCACCCAACTGTATGCACCCGTATAAAATGCAATAGCGAAAGCATAAGCTAGAGCACTATCCTCGTCAACACCTTTCTCGGTGAAAAACTGAAACGTTTTTTTACTTTTGGCACAGTGAAGCTGAATGTAGTTTTCTTCATCAAATTTTCTACAAGCCTCCACTAAACTTTCAAATGAAGGTGTATTATCGTCTTGTAGCATTTTCTCGAGTGCTGGTCCAAAATCATCTTCAATCACGGCATATTCTGCACGCTTTTCGACAAGTTCGGATGCATTATGATAAAGTATAACGCTTTCGATGTCAGTTTCAATAATTTCAGAATCAAACTTTTCTGAAAATTGCTGTTCTTGGAAATAAGGTATCTTACCGATCAGCTGCATGTAACACTCATGTGAAAGTTGCTTCTTCTTATTTCGAAGGTCTCCCTTGGCATCCTGAATTTTCTTGAAAACTTCCATATTACTTGTACGACTCAGTAAGCGATGAGCTTCATCTTCGCTCATTATGTAGTTTCGATGATGATCCATGGGATTAGGACTGCGATCAGCTATTGCCAATCGTGGTTATCTAGAAGAGGAACAAAGATTGTAAACTGATATTAAAAGTAGTGTTTGACATAAGACAAAGGCTAGTTTTTAAAGTTATTTTCATTTTTACGTCTCTCAGATGTTGCAAGCATTATGACTTACTCGATATATAGTGCTGTAGAAAAATTATTTAAAACATTTTACAAGCAAAGATATATTAGAACACCAATTGTCCTATCAGCTTACCTTTATAAACAAAAGTTACTGATGCCTTATCTAGTGACTATAATGACAATTTTCTCCTTTTTTTATATCAGACGGTGCATTTTCTCGGAAAAATATTTCTTTCGCTTAGAAAAAATTCACTTTTCTCTCTTCTTGGCCGAGAAAAAGTCGCGTAAACAATAAACTCTAGACGAGTATATTCTTTTTTCTTCTTGTTTCCTAGAAATAGAGGAGAGAAAAAATGAGAGTGCAATGCATTGTTGTTTGAATTCCAATTTCACGTCTCAACCTTCAGTATTCTTCAACGCATCACTCTTCATTCTCCACGACATTGCTGGAAGCTCTAGAAATCAATAGAAGATCTTGAGGAATCTCTGGACATTCATTGCAGATCATTTTAAGATCTTGTAAGGATTCTCCGAAGATATATTCTGTAATAGCTGGAAACGCGAATATTAGAAGAACTTTTAAACTCGTAATAACTCTTCGAGTTTTGACATGTTTGATTATATTTATAAACTGAATTAGTACTGAAAATTTTAATGTTCAAAACTTAAACAATCTCATGCTCTACAAGTCTTTATAGGTTTAAGAAAGATTTATTCTGTCCTAAGGATCATTCTAATCGAACTATTGCCAGAAAGTCACCATTTCCAGAGTATTATAAAAGTCAATATCAACCTTTTTTCTATTGAATCTTGATCTTATTTCATTTCGACAGCAAAATGAGTATCATGTTCGGCGTCAACATAAAAGATGCACTATATCATTTATCTTTCAGCAATAATAGTTTTTAATGAGATTTACAATCATATCCAGCGGTGTCCTTTTCAAAATTAATTAGTTTAATAGTCAACGATTACTTAATGCCGAATTTTCAAATATGGAACATTGTTTTTTGCAAAAAAGAACCTTCGTGTTTTGGCGCTCGATGGCCTGCAAATGTGCGTTTCACTTATGATGCACTTATTTCAACATTGATATATAAGAAAATAATCACATGAGTCTTGTCTTCAACTAAAGATCTGAAATTCTCTCGATTGCTGTAAACTGAAAATCCCTAGTTATTATCGTTGCCGTGATACTTTCTTAGACGACAACTAAAAATTATTTATGAAATGCTTCATTTATATTTATCTTCACGGTAGTATTTGTTTATATGATCCTTATGAAAAAAAAAAAGCTTTAAATTAGCTTCTACTAGTAATCAAAAAAATCAGTCCATTTCAACGAACTGAAGCAAAGATGTTTCAATTTTTTATTGTAGTGTTATTTATGGTTCAACCTATTCACTGTTCTTCTATTTCAATCGTTCATCAATTTCTCATGTAATTCAATAAAAAGTTGACAATCATATATCTTTTTCTTTTCTGCTAATAACTTTACCTTCGAAAATAGAGTTGTTTGTGCTTTAATAAGGAAAATTATTTTCTTTATTAAATGATGAATACTAGAAAATGTTTTAAAAACGGTTTTGATTTATTATTAGTGAAAATAATTTTAAAAAAAGAATGTCTATTATGAAAAAAGTGACTTTTGAAATAAAATAATATTGTCATATTTTGAAACAGTAATATCCTTGCATGTTAATACAGATACAATAAATGAGCTATCACTGTTTATTGATGATTGAGTATGAGGCTGTTGATATGAAACCGATATTGATGAAAGAGATGAACGTTGTTAATCATAAGACTCTCGATTTCGAAGAAGCATTGTTAGAACTGTATGCCAAAATAATGATATACTCTCATGGTGATGGGTACATCCATTATATCTTTAAGGAAAGACAAAACATCTAAAATACTTCAATGCACTTTTTGTCAATGTTGACCGTTTTCTTTAATATCGATCTAGTAGAAATAAGAACTAATATCTTTGTACATTCATTTATTGTTACGATTTATTTACATTCAGATACTAAAAATTAAAGAACAATGTAGATTAAAAAAAGAAAAAAATGTTTGAATTTATTACCTGAAAGGTATCGTTGTTGTTGAAAACATCTTTCGAGTTCATATGTTTATTGTTTTATAAACCAAATGTATTATCATCCAATGATAGTTCACAATTTGAAAGTACATATTCCATCGAAAAATTCTTTATTTAAGTGACTCTCAATATTTATTTATGTACAAGAAAAAAATTGTTATACATCGAAAAATAAAAAAGAAATCATTTTCTTCTATCTTCCTTTAATAGATCCATAAGAGAAAGAAACATCTATCAAAATTTTACAAAGCATCATAGTAGACACTAACTGGAATATTTTCAGAAAGTTATGATATCAAGCATAATTTAGCTATCGATTACTCATACGTTTCATTGATAGAAAAAAGTATTTAAATCACGAAACAATGTCCTATATCGTGAATATATACTAGTTTATTTTATTCATTGAATTCGTCTATTAAAACGATTCAATTGCTTTCTTGTGCAAGTGTATGTATGTTCATGCTTGGAAATTGAATATAAATTAAAAGCTAAATTATTGACACAAATGACATGTTAAGCTATCGAGTGCTTGTTAGTATTTCTCTTAGAAAGAGTATATGAACTGAAATTTTATATGAAGAATATTGGTCGTTTTCTGACTCATTTAAAAATTAGGGTTAATTGAACTTTAGAAATTATTTTTTTTTAATTTTTAATCATTGAAATATGTACTTTGCTATATACGAAATGAATACTCAAATATATTTACATAAACAGTTTTTGAAAATAGATATAAAAAAATTTTAGTAAAGTGTTGATATGCAAAGAATAAATTCTTCGATAAATCTATCTCTACTTCAGTGTGTATATTTTCCGAAATATCGTTGACAAGTTATTATTTTTTATGCATTCAATAAAAAATTTCATAACTATATGAAAAGATCTTTGCCTGCTTTGATACAATAGATTATTCTTTTCATGAGTTATATTTATTATTGAGAATGATGACCTGAAAAAGTCGAAGTTATTGATTGACCATGACATATTTTCTTATAGAAAAGATTATTATCAAATGAGAAAAAAAAAAGATTTCGAAATCCTAAACACATTTTTAATAAGAAACTGTTTTGCACTCAAATTGTCAATGCTCATATATTGACTGCATCAAAGTCAATAAAGATAATAAAATATTTCCATAGAAAAATCTTCTACGAAAGAAGATGACATTTTTGCAAGTGGCGGCATCCTTACCAATAGTTGTCGAGGCCATTCTATTGTCTATTTAGGTTTACCTATTGGTGAAAAAATGCTTGGAATAAAAATGTCTACAGTAGAGAGTAGTATCAATTAGATAAATCTGGCTTTTTTTGAAACATGATCGTAGATAAGTCTATTCAATTTATAATTAATATTTTAAATTTAAATTTTCGATAGATGAGAAGATTTTATTGATTTCATATACAATATAAAAAACAAATATTTTCTTTATTTAATATTATAAAATATTTTAATGATTCATCGATTAACATTTATACTTGTGACATTAATGACTTGACAGTATTTGAATAAATACAAAATATTACTCTTGTTCCTTTTTGTTTTTAAGAAACCCCAATCAGATGATTTTTTTTTTGTGTGTAGCAAAGAGAAAGAAAAAGTTATTGTGATTAGGAAGGGCTGGTGAATAAGATATTTCAAATATCTAACATTCGTAGCGATATGAATAATTTTTTCTCAAAAA